CAACCCCAAAATCCGACAGATTCTGAGCAGTCCAGAAATTGTTCGGCACCAACACCTACAGCACCATCAGATTCCCAAGCAGATGGCAACCGTGTTGTGTCGGATCATGATGCTCAGCCTGCTGCTGCAGGGCCCTGAGATGTGCTCATCTTACCAAATCCAGTGCATGGAATTCTGCTTCTCACCTGGGAAACGCTGGAGTAGGAGCTCAAAAGTAGGACTTCCTTCATCTTAACAATCATTATGTGATGCAGTGCAAGCTTTTAACTATATAAAGAGTATTCATATGACTACACAGAGCAACATGAGCAGGGAAGCCAGAAGTTTGGATTCTTGAGGGAAGTGATGTGGCCAGATACAACGGTAGGAAGAATTCTCGGCTGCTTTGCTAAAGCTGAGTCAAGTGCTATGAGATTTCTTTGCCATCTGTGGAAGAAAGGGAGTTCACTCCTCGTTTTGTTGAGGCACAGTGTGTCTGACTTGATTGGATAATTTTTTTCTTTAAATTTATTCCCAAATCAAAATTAAAAGACTTTTAAAGAGAGACAGTGAGTTTCCCTGAATAGTCTGTTAGAAAATATCAGATCTAATAATTCCAGCAATGTCATGAAACTGTCTCTGGAAAGATTTCTCAGCAAGAGTGTAGCTTAAGGAAGTGTATCTTAATATTATGGTAACAGATTTAGTAAACCACATGCATATTCAAAGAATATGTTTTTGAAGCTAATGTTCTGTTGTTTGAGATAAAAGTTTAGTTTTGCAAAGCAAAGGTTTAGAACTGACGTTTTAGTGCAACACAAAAGCTGGAGGAAGGCTTCTGAAGAAGTTAACCTCTGCTTGCAGCCCTGCACTTGGGCATAAGGTTGTGTGTATTTGGGTAATTTTAGGTTTGATGTTGTATTGAGGCAAGAATCTTTGATCAAGATTGCACAGCCTGAGATTGATCAATGGTCTTTTTGGGTTTTTTGTTTCATCATCTATAAAAGGGTTTATTTAATGCAGTGTAGTTATTTATTAATAAAACAGTAAGCTTTAAGTGCCTAGGGAAGGTGGGAGGGTAGGGAGGAATCACCTAAAAATGTTTAGGATTATAGGGGCAAAGTAGTGGATGCAGAAATCAAGTAGAGTGAGAGATTCTCAGGAGGAAGCAAATGTAACTCAATTGCAGTATGTTAGCAAGTTACTTTGCCCAATGTCAAGACACTGGAGGACTTTGGATTATGTTTTGTTATGCTTCTTAATACTGTCTGCAGCCAGCTTGTGCTGGTGCACAGTGAAAATTGCTGCTGGAGGGAAATCCTCAGGCTCAGGGAAGAGTCGAGGGGGTTTAGTCAGGATAGTGTTTTGCCCCATTTTCTTAGATGAACAGCTTGTTCCTGGGAGATCCTGGGCACTCTGCTCCCGTGGGACTGAGGGAGAATTGCTCAGCTGCCCTCCTGGAAGTGAGATGGGTGTGAGGTGTGAGGCCTTCTGTGGGGAAGGTGCCACTGTGGGACTGCACTGAGCCAGAGGCAAGGCCAACAGGAGCCCAGTCAGGGAGAGGAAGGTGGCAGCAGCTGAGCAGGAAGGGGGTGCACAGGGTTGCCCACTTTGACATCTGTTAGCTTGACTGAAGGGGTGTCCCGTAGCTGTGCTTTAGCTGTGCTTTTAGAACAACCCACATTCTGGCAGTGCCTGGGACCAACACCATAGACAATAACAAGAAACATCAATGACTAGCCACTAGTTACTTTTTTTGCACTTGAACTTAAATGTACTGTACTCACATAAATCCTCATGACTTGTCTAAGTGTCCTTTAAAATCAGAAATGTATTTATTGTATGTTTGTATAACTTGGGGGAGAACTAAAGACTGAACAGGTGACAGGACAGAAGGATGCTAAAAATCATCTTGAGGCTAACCAACCATTTGTTGAGTTCATGCTGTATGGTGTTACCTCAGCTGCTACTGCATAGCACCTGGATTGTGAAGTGAAGAGCTTGTACACTGTGTTTACACTTCAGAATTGTGTATTTGAAATGCCTGCTCTTTTTGGAATTGTATAGTCATTCTATGTTGCAAAATGGACATGTACACCTGGATTTTGATATTTGTGAAACTGTAAAAACTGTGGTAAGAAATATAAAATATCCGTAACATATTTAATAGTATCAACATGAACTTTTATTTTATTTGCTCATATTAGTGTCAGCAGTGAACATAACCACCTGAAGTGAAAATAATTCAGTGATAATGACCTTTTACTAAAGTCACTGGAGGATGCTGAACCAAGAGCCTGGGAACTATTCCTGCACTGTGTTAAAAAAGTACTTGATAATAAAATCTGACTGTGTAGGCACCAATTCCCTTCTATGGGGTGCAGGGAATGTAAGGGACACAAACCAGTATGTGCTGTAGACTGATCGATATGGAAGAGTGCAGGGCATCACTGTGAACACAGAGAAGAGAGAAAAACGTAACATCCTTTGTTAAGGAAGAAAGGCTTTTGTAAGAGTTAGGGCAATGGATTAGTGCCTAGATTCCTAGATTTTCTGGCTGAACAGTGGACAGTACTTAACAATGGTGTTTCAGTAAGGCTGTGTCATCTCCACATATCACAGGAGCACTGTGCAAGTGAACAGGGCTCCAGTGACAGCAGCTGGTTTTGGTGGGTTTTGTTTATGAAACCCTTCCAGTGTTGGAACAGGCTTGGGAGGATTTTTAAGGTCACTACTAGCAATGCACTAAGGTAGCCATCATGTTTCTACTGCCATTCTGTTTTACATGCATTCTACTTTGGATAGTATTTACACATCCCTAACAAATGATGGATCTCACGACTACACACAGCATGAGTTGATTGTTTAATTTTTATTGCTTTTTAACTTTTTTCCTTATTCAAGTAGGTATGGTACCTGGTATTCTTCTAAAAGATGTAATTACCTAAACTGGGGGGCAGGGGCTTTTCCATTTAACATATTGCTTAGGCAAAATACTAACTTAATGTATAATCTGGGCTATTGTATGTAAATACATATTATGTACTTACATAGTACATACAGGTACTTACATACCCCCATATTATGGAAGGGCAATCATCACTACCTCACTAAAGAGAGGACATCCAGAAAAACTGTGTGTTTAAGCTTAGACTAATCTGACTCTCTTCCTTGGCTTCAGACTGCTTGGATGGGAGCTCTTGGCTAACTATGAAGTACACTGAAAAAAACCTGTGTACTTTAAAACACGCAAAAAACATTAAGACATTTCTTTGAGTATCCCTTTGCCTAATCTTAAAATGATTTTAAGTACTCTATTTTCATGATGGTGACACAAAGATTAAATAAATCTGATTTGGTCTATGATAATTGTTCAGGGGGAGTTTCCACCCTTCTCCCAATCCATCCAAGATAATGAGGCTTTCCTCTGTTTTCACAACTGCTTGTTGGTAGTGCCAGAGCCCCCCAAGCCAAACCCGCCTTCCAGAGTGTGCGTGAGAGTTTAGCTGTGGATTTGGTAGCAGCAGCCTCTCTTAGGAGTGAGTCTTGCTGCTATTGGCCTTCCTAAACAGAACTCTTGCTCTGTTTTTGAATGTTCTTAACAGTGAGTGCATTTTGAATCACCTGCTTGACGTGGCTTTTCTCTGCTAAATATGCTTTAGGTTCTGCATAGGTACTTAAAAAGTTATGGCACTAAAGGGTGTTAAGTGTCTCTTTACTGTAAAATGGAAGTATTCCTTTTAAACTGATGCAAAGCTGAAGCAATATAAAGGGGGAAAGACCACGTTAGTAAGGCTTTAAAGCACCAACTCTGAGTCCTTTGTTACACAGAGGAGCTCTTGGGCTATGGTAGGCCACACTTCTTAGCACCGTTGGGGGTAATGGGTTTTGTCCCTGCTGCAGCAATGGACAGGGAGAACCCAGGACAGCACCTGCACTGCTGAAGTCATGCTGCACCACCAGCCATGTTACAAAGAACAGACACCCCTTTTAAAGCCAATGGATCCCAGTCTGACACGCCCTACTTGAGCACCAGCTGCTCCCCACCACTGACAGTTCCTGGTGGGTTTGTAAGATCAGACAGTGACAGAATTAATGGTCTTTTGTTTCCTGCAGTTTGTTCGACAGTACAGGAAAACAGCAAAGTGAGAACAGAAGAATATAGGGAAGAATAGTCTAAAGAAAGAAATGACATCTGCAAGTGGATGAACTGAGGTACACACTCTGCTCCCTAGCCTAGGACTGTGTAATACATAAGCTGAAAGACATGTGACTACCTAAATTTCTCTCCCTGGTCTATTTTTCCTCCCCACATCTCCTGTCAGAAGTCCCACAGATGGCTGAGAAAGGGAAGGTAAAAGCCGGGTATCTTCCCTCATTGTTTTGCTAGGAATGATTTTCTGCTTCTTACTCAGTGATCAAACTACTGAGTACTCTGAGGCCAGTGGAGCTCTGTGTGGGCTATCTGCATTCCCATTTCCAGGCTCACAGCAGCACTCTGGCCTTGCTAATAGCAGTTTCTCCAAGCAGCTGAAACAGCCTCAGCCTTTGTGGCCTTTTTGGGGCTCTTGAGAGGCCTGGAATAGAAAGCAGCACCTGCCTGAGGTAAGCTGACACTGAAACTGAAGGCAGTAGCAAAAAATGTTTGGAGATGGAAAACCTCTCCTCTGCATTGTCAAAGGTGGAGAAGCAGAGAGCTAGAGAAAGGTTTAGCAGTAGACCCCTACAAAAGGGAAGAAAGTACATAAATAAACAAAGACTTAGAACAAAATGCAGTATAACTACAGCAGGGGCAAAGAGAGCTTAAAACAAAAGGCAGAGGCAGGACGAAGGTAACAGACAAGCCCAGCCAGAAGAGGAATTAGACCTCATTCAGCTGCATTAACTCTCTATGAGAAGTCTCAAAAATAATGAACACAATTTATGAACACTCTTAACAGCATATCACAAGTGTTGACACAGAGGGTATTTAGTAAAAGGAGAGTATTAAAAATGGCTTTTCCTCCCTCTAGTGCTCAGCACAGAGGACTTGATGATGGAAAGGGCCAAAACAGAGTCTCTGTTTACTAGAGGTAGTGTCCTTGGTAAAAGAAGGCATCCTGGTGGACAGGCTGTCTCCAGTACTTGCCTTGGAAATACACAGTGTTTGTTTCCCCAGTGAAAATCCCATAGCATGAGATTCCTCTTCACGTGAACAGCCCCTGTGGTTTTCTTCTGTTGCTCTAATCAGGTAACATTGGTGATACAGGAAACAGTTTTTTCAAAAATCCTTCTTTGTCCAATAGCAACCACAAGAAAAGGCCAAGTGTGAGTTCTCATTCTGTATCCTCCCTTTCTAGGACAAGTGTGTTTTCTGTCTCTTTTTTTTTTGTTGCTATTTCTCAAAGCTCAGAGCAGCTCAGTAGCATATGGAAATGGAACTTGTGTATGCATTTCATTTGCATTCTCCTCATCTTCTTCATGGACAGAATTGGCTGGCTCATCTTGCTCAGACTGTGCCCTTGTCTCAAACAGTTGCTCTTCCAGGAAGGAGCTCCCAATGCCATACTGCTCATCATGCGCCTTTGTTTCTGCAGGTGAGACATGAGGGGATCCTAGAACAAAAGATGCAAACCTGCCAGATTTTGAAAGGGAGAAGTGATTAGCTGAGAAATTAGAAGAAATACTGTAAATTCTAGGAGTATTGCTATTTAAGCAGGAGTGTTGTAAGGACATCCCCAGAGGCAGTGCAGATGAAGGGAAGTTCCAATAATGGATGGCAACAACCCCAAAGATTGGTTTTTCCCAACTCATCTTTTCAGTATTTTCTGTAGAAGTAAATTTTGCTCTTCTGGAAACCATCTGCAAGGTCTCGTGAGTAAGCAAAAAGATCTTTGTATTCATGTCTTGTCGGTACTTGCAGGGTAATCCAGAGTAAGCATTTGTACAGTGGGGTAGTTGGTACTTTAGCCTCTAAAAACAAATTAAAGCTATGGCATATTTGAGACAAAGGCTGTTAGAATTCAAGTGTGTTGACATTGCTAATGAAAGGAAAAAATGGCAATTCTGCACTCCTACGTTGTGTGTAGTCACCTTGTTGCTGGTGCTGCATGTGCACTGTGGGCAAGCTGAGCTCAAGCCTTCCCAAAGAATTCCTGCCTCTGGTAAAGCGGGAGCTGCAGACTGGGAATTCTGCAGCTGCTCCAAGTAAGAAAGCCAGAAGAAAGCATGAACTTAGCACCGTCACCGTCCCTATACTGCAATCCACCACAAATCTTACTTTCAGTGGGCAACTCCATTGAGGAGAAAGGAGCTGGAGGTTTCTGGCAAGAGTATGGGAACAGACGGCAGTTCTGACACCTGGGTAAGTGTCGACAGCATCAGAGAAATGTATGAAAAAGGAAATGCAGCTACATTCTGGAGTTCTGGTAAACTGATCAATAATTTACATTTCAGACTTAACATTTCTGTGAGATGAATGTCGTCACCTCGCTGTTCTTGGAAGCTCTGTTAGTCTAAATGAGGAACAGGTTTGCCTTGGGATGAACCACAGTCTGATGCTTAATGGGAACTGGGAGGGGTTCTCCAAATCTTACTGCTGTTGCTTTTCCATTTTATTTCTCTGTTCTCAACCAGTGAATAGTTTATAACAACTCTATTAATGAACTGACAGCTAGAAAATACGTGTGTCTCAGTTGTTTTGTACATTTGGTGGTATTTAGTTCTACAATACAACAGTAAGCTTTCACTTTTTTATCTCTCCATCATGCTAAAGAAGACAAGCAGCTTAGAAAGTAAGACTGTTTAACAGTAAATCTATAAAACCTGGAAGAGAGGCTGTCTGCATGCCACACCAAGGAAGATGAAGGTTCTGAAACTGGGTTTAACTTGTTATTGATTAAATTCCAAGAGCTGACTGGGGTTCTTTTAAAATCATGACACTTAGTTCTGTGACAAGGACTAAGTCTTTGTGGCTGGCTAATATACGAAACTCTGCTTCTGATATCTTCAAGTTTTTGATTTGATGGGAATACACTGTTACAATTAATTTTATATTCTGCAGGGTTTTCTGGCTTTGCTTGCTTGACTCTTCCTGACCTATATTTGTCTTGGGTTTATCTCTTAAGCTATACATGGCACAGCTCATCTACCTGTTCTGCTTGCTAGTAACAGGTATTGATTTCTTTCCTTGTATTCTTAAGTCTTAGATAGTGATACTTCAATAACAGGATTCCCTGACTGTGCAGGTTTGCAGTTGGAGGGCTTAATATAGGTAATATAGGAGTATGTATCTTCACCCTGCCCCAGTTTTACACCACAGAAAAGGGCACTGCTCTAAAACCTGAAGGAGGGCAATTTCACCTGTTAGAGAGCCACCAGGGTCACTGCAAGAGCTTACAGAGGCACTGTAGGAAGCCTTTAAGTTCTATGACCATGAATTAGCTGTGAAGGTCTGCAAACTCCAAAGAGTAATTTGTGGCCAGGGAGGAACAAACAGAAGTTTAATGCCACCAGCAAGTAATACTCTTGAGAGGTGTGGTTGTTGTCCTGAGTGGGATATTTAAGATAAACACGCCTGGAACAGTGCCTGAAGTGGCATTTAGGTCTGCTGTGTGCCAGTGTCTGTGCAATGTGTTTCCTGTTTTTGAGGAGGCAGGTTTTCTTACCTGTGTGGAGCCTGAAGTTTGGATACAGCTATCCATGATGGGAAGTCAGGGCTCCTGCAGAATGAGCGCAGCTCCTCCAGAGCTCTGATAGTTTCACTTTCACCTTGTTCTCGATACTCATCTTCAGTAAGGTATTTAAATACCAATTTTTTTGATTTAAAGTGATGCTTCATTTTTCTAGAAGGAAATTAAAATAATCAGTATTTATAAAGTCTTCTGGCATGTAATTATCTGCCCTTTTTCTCTATACCTGCTATTAACATGCATTAATCACCTCTACCCTTTTAAGAGAACAAGCTGCATTCTTAGATTTGAGGACAAGGTAAGTAATGTTTGCTAGCCTGTCTACCCTAGGTCTTAACCAAAGCTGTAGAATTTCACATGATATTTAATGAGCCTCAGATGAGCTTTAGATCAGATCCTTATTGTGTATGCATGGACTAAAATCTCACAGAATTAAAGAGATGGCTGCTTGCTCAGCCATTTTTAGGTGCAAAATGCAAAATGTGTCTGTGCAGAGACACGGCTGAATCAAAACCCAGTCTGCATATTTTACTTCAAAGATAAGCAGTGCTCTAAGCCTGTTGTGAGTTGTTCATGTTGTTTACTAGATGCTTCTCTTAAATCTTACTCTAAATTACAAAACTGAGTAGTCTGAGGCCAAAATGTTTACAATCTGATGGTTTTTTTTGCTGCTGCATAGCGATGTATAATATAATTAGATAGAAATTAGAAAGTGTGCCATGTTCTGTTTCCTTCTGTCGACTGCTTTCAATTTAAATGTTGTGATGAGTTAAGATAAGCAAGGGCTGAATGCCCATAAAACTTTCAGCTCTGTATAAAAACACCTGCTCCAACATCAGCAGCATTCAACTTTCCTCCTTATATCCCTTTAAAGCAGAGAACTGTAACCATTGTTTAGGTCAAATGGTGAAGGGTCTTGCTTGCTCACTGAGATCCACTGCTCTTAACAAGAAATACTGCAAGATTCAAAATTATTTTGATATATTTGCTGCTTTGAACTGTGTATCTGGCATCATGGCCTCACAGTTTGGTGCTGTGGCTTAAGGATTTTGAAACAAAAATTAGAAATCCATTATAATTCTCCTAAGAGATTTGTAGAGCTGTATTTCTTTATAGAAGCATCACTTCGTGAAAACCAAAAAGAAAGAACCACATGAAGAACAACAGTGTTTCAGAGTAAAACTTGAAAGTAAAGTGAACTTGTGGCCACATCATACTGATTCCAGAGTGTTCTGAACCTGCTTACAACAGGTGCTCATCTCACAGGTTGCTTTTGAGACAGCTGTTGCTCCTCAGCTGCAGGCAAAAATTGTTCTACAACAAATGATAAATTCTACCTAAAATAAAAAAGCTTCAACTCAGGCTACACTTCAGCATGTAAAAAGAAATGACAAAACCAAAGCAATATGTTTTTCAAAACTAAACAGCATGTAAAAAAAAAAAAACAAACCAAAGCCGAATTAATTTTCTGTTATTATTTTAGTTATGCCAGTTTTAGCCTTTGCCTCTTCCTACTTCTCTGCGGTTCAGCAGAGTCCACAGCTATGGAACAGTCTGTATCAAGACTCTGAAGCTGGATGCCATCCATCACTGAAGGTAAAAAACAGATGTCAATTGGCAGGGCTTTTTACAATCTTCATTTGAGTGTTGCACTTGTGCTAAAACATGCTTCAAATTCAAGGATGAGCAAATACGTTGTTCCTGTATTGCTATTGAAAATACTTAGACCTATTGCAAGCAGTTCCAAATCCACAATGTAAATGGGCCTCTAGGAGTACTGAGGAATATCTCCATGGTTCTGAAAGATTGCTTCCGTGAATCACAGGGAGGTAACAAACTTGGAAAACTAAAATCATAGAGAACACTGTTTTGTGGACATGTGATTTTAGTCTCCAAACTCTATTCAACCTCCAAGGACTGCCACTTTTGAACAGCTGCATCCTTGGTGATGGTGCACTGTTTTATCCCTAAGATTCCATATGAGTTCCCTGCAGCTTCTCTCACTACACGTCAAACCAAGGCAGTATTGCTGCAATCTAATCAATCAAACAGAAATGTTCTGGTTGCCATATGCTGTGGACTAGAAGGTGCTACATTTGTCCTTAAGAACACAGTCACATTTCTCCATTATCCACAGAACAAAACTCATGCTTAAAACTGCCAAGTGGAAAATAATTTCTGTTTATGGACCTTAAACCTTTCCTACTGCAGTTTTACGTTTGGCAGGCAAAATTATGAACTAGTACTAGAAATTCCTAAACCATTATTGAAGTGTAGGGTTTTTTTTTTTTTCATTATCAGCTTCCAGTATTTCCTGGCTCTCCCAGAACTAGGACATTCACAAACACACACAGACCTGGCAATATGACAGGCAGCACCCAGGGGGTAACACAGGCCTTTGGAGCAGAGGCTGACTGCTATGACTGCATATGCAACTTGAGGGATGGTGACACCAAAGTAGATCAGAACAAAGGCTGTTAATTGGAGCATCCATGTGAGCAAGTTTATGCTGAGCTCCGTGGTCAGTGGCCCATGCTGATAGCAAATGGCAAAGCTGGTAATCCCAACAGCCAGAAAATACCCTGTAGGAACAGAAAAGGACATGGAGAAAAAGATGCAAACTACCCCTATGAACTTTACTTTGCTTCACAAAGCTTGCAGCTGCTGTGAAGTGTAGCCTGCTGATTCTTGTGTCATCTTACAGACAACTGCATGATGTTTTATGTGCTTTCTATTTCCAAAGTGTGCCAAGAGTTCACAAGGTTATCTCTGAACAGCTTTTAGTCAATGCTGTGAGCTGCACATGAATTCTCCTCCCATGACCATGTGGAGGCAGGTGCCAGATCAATAGGTTTGTCAGCCCCTGCAGCCACGTCCCATTGCCAATGTGTGCATCCATTTCCCACATCCAGCAAAGTGCAAACCACAGCAGCTGCCCTTTTGCTCTTACAGGGAAAGTATGTAACAGCAAATCAATGAACTAATAATGCAAGCAGGATCTACTCTTAGAACTAGTCCTCTACCTCAAACTCTTTATTTAATGATACAATGTGAATGAACACTCATTTGAGTGGATTAGGAACCTTTAGAACGTTTCAACATCTATGGCTTAGGAGAAAATAGAACTCTATAAATGAGTCACTTGATTTTCTTTTTTTATGGGCAAGTATTCATCTGACCACTAAATTAAACCAAAATCTGCATCACAATTCTTGGTAATTTTCTTACCCAACAGGTAGTTTTTGTGTTCAGACCACAACCACTGTACATTCTCTTTGAAGCAGTAAATTAAATAGAGAGAGATCATCCAGGAGCCACTCATTAGAATCCAGAATGTACTGTGCTAGAGATTAAAAAAAAAAAAAAAAAAGAAAAAAGTAATAAAACTTCATCTAAAAATTCAAGTCAGAATCAGGACCACTGTTTCCAAAGGAACTGACAGGCAAAAACAGATGTGAAATTCTTTGGACCTATAGGGTTTGAGATTTCCACTGCACAATCCCCTGCATGCTACCACAAAACAGTATCAATTCCAAGCAGAGAAACTGCATCCCTGTATTTGTATATCATGTCCCAATGTCACAGCATAACCCTACTGAAATGTGTTTCCAGTTAACATATCTCAGCAATATTATGGGAATGCACAGGCTTTATAAAAGTAAAGCAGAAATTCACATCTGCCTTGCAATGAATTGTCTTTGATGAATGGGATCTGTCTCAGTTGCCACTATATTTTTATTTAGATTGATTCACAGATTCAAAGGTAAGCTTAGCTCCAGTTCAATAAAAATAATTTATGTTTCAGAATGAACTCTTCTTGTACATCACCAACGCCCTTCAGTTTAAACTCAGGAGGAAGCTAAATAGAACTTGACTCTGACCTAACTATATTTACTTGATTCAAGCAATTGTGCAGTCATTTCAGTGCAATTACCTGGTCACAAAACCAGAACAAGGCCAGAATCTGGCTCTGCACTGTCACTTCTTGTAATATTATGATTACTATTATTTTGTTTTATAAATGTAGATTTACCCTTGGAATAAACCTTTTAAGTGTCAACAGGACAAAGACTAGCAGAGCAAGAACACCCAGTATTATTCCAGAAAGGTAAAAGAACTTGGCACTCCTGTAAGAGAACAAGAGAGAATATGGTGAGAAGTATCATTTGTAATTGGTTAAGATGCCAACATTTGTAAAAACAGCAGTGATCTTCAGTAAGAATTAAAATCGGCTGTAAGTTAAGAGTTGTAGTTATATGGTTAACAGGCCAGTATTAAATCTGTGTAAGGAAAAATTCCCAACAGATACTTAAGGTCACTGGAGTTGTTACAGGTTAAGAGATTGAGCTTTTAAAGCTCACACTACTTCTGATTGCACTGACCTCCTAGTTCTCTAGTACACAGAAGAAAATTAAATAACCAATATGGTTCTGTACTGAGAAGTTTTATTTTAATTTAAAATGCAGAAAACCCTCCACAAACTCCTAAGTTTTTTTCCTAAGCATATGCATTTATAAATTCCATCTTAATTAATTCAGAGTTAATGCTATAAAACCTATTGCTGCTCTGCTTGTTTTAGAGGTGCCTCCTGACAATTATTTTGTGACTCACTTTTCTTTGAAGTTGTGGGCACATATTTTGCTGTAACAACTGAGTGTCCTCCCTTACATGCTATGCAAAATGTGCAGCAGAAGAAAGACTGGCACAAAGGTGGAGCAGAAGAGTGACTTTATCCTAAATATTTCCCCCCAAGGAAGGCATCATTAATAATCAGCATTATTTAGCATTCAGCTATCCTCAGTGGTGTACAAAAGGGAAAAAGGACTTTTCTGATCCACACACTTGCCCACTGAAGTTTGATTATCTTGGTGTCCCCCTGTGCAAGAAGCTTGGATACAAAAACCCCAACACAGCTGATTGATAAACAGAGTTAGGCACTCCAAGGTATGTCACAATGTGTCCAAACACAAATGGTATGAGGAAGTTTTAAGTATATATTCAGTTCCTTATTTCACTTTCCCAAAGAACTGCCTCTTTAGCTTAGCAAACAGACCAAAGATGCACAGGCTTTGGGAAAGAAGGTCAAAAGCAGGTAGTACTCACCTGCTCAGGCTGTTTGCAAAATGGAACAGAAAAATTCCAGCTACAAACAAAAACAAGAGCTTTCCATCTAGCACTAAAAAGGGGGGAAAGAAATAGAAATTGACTTTAGACTAATTCAATCTGAAATGCTGATTATATCAAATATCAACAGAAAAGTCCCATGCTTCTTACAGAAGAGATGGTACATTCAGAAGCACTGGCAATACCAAGCCATCTGTAATCTAAACTCAAAGATTTGGTACTTACTTTCTCTTTTCATCCTCACAATGTATGGTTCCATTTTGAAGGGTTGTATTTTGAAACAAACATCCTCTCCATATTGTTTTATGCTCAGAGAAGTTTCTGTACATGTCTCTGGCTTCCAGAGGATTTGAACAGCACATGCAGCAAACTCAAAAACAGTTTCTGAATTCCGACAGTTGTTTTTTTCTGAAATAGGCTCAAAACGGAACTTTTCTCTGCTGCTAACTTTTATCTGGAAACAAAGAACACAATACACAGAGAAGCAGATCAGAATCACTGGGGGTTTTTGTGAACTATATCATATATCAACCACGTATGTGGTAATGGAAATCAATCTTAACTGTTTAGTATTGGTTATTTATATTCTGCAAAGATTAATTGTTTACAGTTAATCACCTTTCAGGGTAATTCAGAGAACTCATCGACAGCAAAGTTCAGTAGAGGGACCTCATTCCATCCAGAAGCACAGTGGGTTTGGTTTTACTGTGATACTTGCCCACACACAAATTTCTAACAAAGCCAGTAATATCTGACTGACCACAGTTTGCTTTGTGAATGTTCATATCCCTCTCCTCCTTCCCCTCCTGAACCATAACAAATTTGACTCACTTTTCTTTATAATGCAATTTTCATGTTGGGGGCATAAGAGGGGTGAGGAAAATGAAAGATAGCACAACCAGAAATTTAAATAGAAGCACATTCCTGTTGGGTATTTTGGGGTTTGTTGGGGTGATTTTCCTGAGGACTCTGATACATTGTGAGCTCTTCATCAGGGCCTGCTACAACAAAGACCCATCTGCAAAAAAGTGATGCAATGAGTAATAAACTAGGTTTGTACTGGGAGAGGAGACAATGTGTCAGCAAGCAATTTGTTGTGGGAAAAATCTGAACTTCCTGCTTTTAAACATTGACTCCAGGTCAAGTTTGTGTGACTGATGGTAGGTTTTACCACCTGGAGCCTGCTACCATTCATTAAAACATCTGTAACATGTTCCTGAGGAAAACAGTCCTAGGAACAGACGAAGAGATGTTCCACTTTCTTGTATCTGAGAGAAAAGTCCTCCAACAGAGACGAAATGGTTTCCTTCCTTTGTCTGGAAACAACTTCTCAGGAAAGAAAAGGAACCATGGAGATGGTTAGCTCATTCCTTCAGCAGTTACTGCTTCCACTCTCGAAGAGATTTTTATTTGCTTCAAACTAATCTATAAATGTGTGTCTTGTAAGATGACTCTCTGTTCCTCAGGAGAACAAACTCTGCTGCTGCTGTTTGTTCATTTGTCACAATCTAACGAGCCTTTGGTTCCTACACTTTGGTGTGCTGTGGTGAGAGAGCCACAGAACTGCCTGTAGTCCTCAAATTTAGAAGAATAAAGGCAGTTGGTGATAAGCAAAAGCATTTGTTGCAGAGTTAAAGAGTGGTCCATCAACAGAAAAGGTGTGCTAGAAAATAATACACAATCCTAAATTAATGTTTTTGTGGCACCATCATATTCTAAGCCTGGTAGATATCCTTACAGTAGAGACCAAACCTTACTGCATCTCAACTGGAGACTCATAAGACTGCATTTTTATCATGGTCCCAACTACACACCAGTCCAACTATTGATTCTACAGAGATGCTGCCCGGATCTTCCTAACTGGCCACGTGGTTTGTTGGGGGAAGCTCACATGAAATGTACTGACTGGTCCCCAGAACAGCCCCCTACCTGGAGAGTCGACCACAGGTACTGTAAGTGAATGGTTCTGTTTTGCACATAGCAGTAACAGTTTTCATCTTGCTTCTGGATGACATCCATTTCCTGCAATAAGCTGCAGTTTTTACCTGGGGGGAGCAAAACATCAAATTTTAGGCACGTGTCAAAAACAAATGTCTAATTTTAGTCCATTTCATTGTCGTAAATGCTGACAGAAACATGTTTAATATTATTTAGATGGAAATTCAAATTGGACTCCCAATCAAATCATTTAGGCTCCAAAGTAAACTGCAACACCTTTGGAAAAAAATTAACCAGGGTGGTATTTTAAAAAATGTAATCCAGAAAAGCTTGGCTTCAACATCAGTGTTTTGATGGCACTGGAATAGGGCCTCTGGGCCAAATTCACTGCTGGCACAAGTGGGTGTAACTCCACCAGAGTTCCCTATACCAGTGGTGAATGCAACTGTGGGAGTCTGAGCAGGTAAACAGACTTACATATTAACACAGTCATTTAGCACATGACACAGCTGCTGATCACAGAAGTCATACTCCTCTCCCTCAGAAATGTTTCTGATGTTAAATCACACAACTCTTCTTTTTAGAACATTTTTTCTCCTGTCCCAGTCCAGCCATGGCATGTAATAAGGGAACTGCACTGACAGCTCACCATAAATCATTGAATTAAAGATGTGAATTGTTCTAACTCTCCTGAAACGTTAGTGAGCCCCTATGATCTTCAGAATTAAGACTGCACTTTTGAGCAGGAATGGACCTAAAAGATTAATGGAGCAAAGTTTGAATAACATACATTGTGATCTATATAGATGTGTAAAATATACCCTACAGTGCATTACCACAGTGTTTCAAGAACATAATTAAAGAGAAGCATGGAGGAAATAATTACACATCCGAACAGAGGGACTCATCTGGCTTACTGAATAGAAAATGTAGGTCTCAGCCAAGCTCAGTAATAAGTGCTAACACACTGTCATGCACTCAGAGCAACAAAATGGGCATGTGCAGTCTCAATCCAGACAAGGAGATGCTGTTTGCAGGTAAAAACCTGCTGTGTCTCTCTAAGGAAGCTGAAATTAAGTTAAATTATATTTTAACAAATTTAGTTAAGCCAATGAAAAATACTTGTGTGGATGTTCTTACTTAGGTTTATTATAGCATTACAGAATTAGTGTCCACACATGATCCTACTAAATTGGTTTAACCTTAAAATTCGGGCATTTTTCTTGTGGAAAAATTAACCATCAGATTAATTTTCATCCATGGCAAATCCAGTGGGAGGGAGCATAACCACTCAGACAAGCACTGGCTGTACCCTTAGACAGGCACTTGCACAGAAGTCATCGCACAATGCTGCAAAAGGATTATTTGTCACTGAAGTGCTGCCGGCTGACGCAGCAAGGAGGAGAATGAGGCTGGGCACTACCCAGGCCTAAAACCAAGATAATCCAGTAACAGGAAATGGCAGGGCCAAAACAGAGCCCAGAGTGTCCACACCTTCCCTGAAGGGCATCTTAGGATTTCCTGCCACTATGGATAAAGTACCCATCCGTGTCAAAGGCAATGTCATCCACGTAGAAGCCTAGCAAGTATTTTCGTACTACCCATAGTTTTAAGGCATTTTTCTTGAGAAAAAATCAGCTGCTTGAAATGTTGCATCAGCTCCACAAAGTGAAACCATGATGTTCGAAAAGGAGAGATGCTTCTGAACAGGTAACTCTGAGGTGGTGCTGGGTTGAGCTACTGGGAGGACACACAGGTAGAGTAATTCTCAAATTCTGTGACTGCAAGCAAAGAAATTTGAAATTACGAGCCATCAGCATCTGCTGAATCCGGAGGATGCCCAAGACTCGAGAACGTCAATGCAAGGAGGAAGCCGGTCCTCGAGTTCCTTATTGCTACTACAACTGAGCACAGCCTTTAGAGGTTTGCCTGCCCTCAAATATGTTAATAAAAGATCTGTTCTGCACCCGATTCCCCTGGCCCGAGCTCCTGAGAGAGCCAGAGGGAGTCACACCCAGAGGCAGCTGCGGGCCCCGCCGCCGGAGCGGGAGGGACGCGCCCGCTCTGTGCGCGCCACGGTCCCTTTGTCCGTGCGGGCTCTCCCGGGCCGCTTCCCGGCGCGGGGCCGTCCTGCCAGAACCGAACTGCGCCGGGAGAACGGGGAGGACACGGCAAAGCTCCTCAGGCCGCGGCTGCCCCGGCTCCGCGGCACCGCCGGCGGGGCGAGGCGGCCCCGGCCCGTCAGCCGGGCAGCGCCATGTTAGCGGCAGCGGGAGCCGCGGGGCCCGGGGACAGCGGGAGCCGAGCGTGTCCCCGCTCCCGAAGGGATGGGGCTGAGCAACCCCCGGCCTGTGAGCACCCGCCTTGGCCCGGGGCCGGGAGGGGACGGGCAGTACCTGCTGGCGGCGCCTCCCCGCTGCCCGCGGCCGCCCCGGGCAGCGCCAGCCGGACGAGCAGCAGGAGCAGCCCCGGCCCCGGGCGGGCCCGCGGGCGCTGCCGGCGGCGGGGCGGCCACGCCGGACCCATGCGGCCGCCGCCGGCTCCAGCCTCGGCCCTCGCGGGCGGTGAAGGGCGGGGCAGGGGCGGTGCGGGCCCGCTGCCCGCTCCCCCCACAGGGCCGCGACCGGCCCGGGGCTCCACCCGCGGCAGCCGCCGTGCGGGAGCGGCCGGGAGCAGCCGTGCGGGCTGAGGGACAGCGGGACACCCCGCCCTCGGCTCCTCTTACGCCTTCCCTGGGGTTAGGAGAGTGCGCTTGGGAAGGAGGAGGAAAACCATCGAACGTAACAGCCCAGCCCAAAGCGCGTCCTTGGGTTGTGATCCCCTCAAAGTGAGAGCGTTGGCTGCCTGGTAAAGGTGTTAAATAGTTCCGAACCAAAGGTGGACAGCTTGTGATCCTTGCAAAGCTCAGGGCAGGCAGTGGATATGTCCCGCTCACACACCCAGCTGCCAGCCCGGGGGAAAGGCCGAGTCAGGTCACCAGGAAGCCAGACACTGAGCCACACATCAATCAGGCCTTCTGTCCACACAGAGCACCTGCCTGAACCAAGGGTTGTTCGGTGTTGTGATGGAGGTGAACATGCACAGCTACTCTGTGTTTCCTGGGCAGCCGCAGGGACAGCCTGAAGCAGGACACCGTTCCCCTGTCAACCCTGCGAAGACATGAGCGAGGTCCAGCTCAGCTCAGTCCCCGCTTGCTCATTGCAGTCATTTTAGATCACTAGTGAGTCACAGTCAGCAGTCAGGGGTGGAAAGGGCTGGAGCTTTTTTCCCCTATTCTATGAAAATCAATAAACACAATTTTGCCAAGGCATTCTGGCATCACTGTTGTCTATTTTTATACCGAGCCCTACATTTGGCTTTTCTAACCTACTTGCTTTGCTTCAACGCGTTCCCTTCCTTGTTCTTAAAACAATGCCCCTTCTCTGCGTGAAGGTTGCTTTTCGTTTTGGATTGTTTAGGGCTGTATCCAACTTCTGGGGGTGCCAGGATTGGCTTTTTTAACACCTGAAGGGCGCTGCCCACTGCCTCGCACCTTGTCTGGGCGCTTACATCTGCAGGGCGTGGGCGGTGCAGGGCTGTGGCTCTCCTCGCCTCACCTCCTACGCCCGCTCCGTGCTGGCTGGGCTCGCATCTAACTGTGGATTTTTTCCTTGCAAATACTGAGGAAGTGAAGGATAAGGGCAAAAATAGTTGGGATTTGATAGCGTGTGCAACATCTGACAAACTTGAGTTTCCCCCAAAGGAAGCAGCGATTGATTTATATCTTTGTCTTTATGTAATTTGGGTGTTGTCTCTGTGTAACTTTCCAGGCACTTCCTCTAGCAAATTTAATAAAATAACACTGGGGTTTGTTCCCTGGGTCCCTGACAAACCCTTAGGAATATGTTACCTCTCAGCTGTGTGTCTACACAACAAGAGACCATCATAGCCAAGTTATTAGAGGAATCCCTCTCACATTTTCAACTTGCAATATTTTTTGGGTTACGTTAACCTTCTTGACAGTATTTTTTCTGGGAAGGGAGACACTCTGCATTCAGTTCTCGCTTGTATTTTCATTTTTAGAGCTCTTAGCACTTCACTGCTAATTAACTTTCAATAACTGTCGTAGGGTTACAGTTAGTCAGCATGAATCAGACAGAAAATGTAGCTTTAGGGGACCACACTCTGTCAAAAACTATTAGAAACCTTTGCTTGATTTCCGAGGAGAATATACTCGCTCAAGCAGGATATAGCAGCTATTAGGCAGCATTCTACTGCAGTAAGAAATCCTCAATAAAAGAGCCTCAGTGGTTTTGGTAACAGCCCTCCTTCCAGGGTGGCTCTGAGTAATTTTGCAGCATTTTCCTTGCTTCCTGTTTGTTTGTCTAATTTCCTAAATGGTGGTGGTGATTAGGCCAAAACTGGGGGTTCTGAGCGTTAAGGTGGTATTTTACCTGTTTGCTCACAAATATAATTCAAAACAGGGGGACAAGGGGGAGGTCACTTATAGGTGCAGGTCAGCTCTGCCCTTCCCAGGTCTTTTCAGCTGTGGAAAATTGAGTGAGAACAGCTTTTGGCTGGGAGCACTCAATGGAAGACTTGGCTGTGGCAGGCAGCAATGCAGTTGGTACCAGCGGTGGGTGACATTCCCGGGATGCAGCATGCAGAGCTCTCAGGCTCCATGCATGACAAATTGCCACTTTAGTAATGGGGAAGGAGAAAGGGGAGCAGTGCAGAGCTATGCCCACAGCATATGTTTTCCTTCCAAGCTTTTGGAGTCCTGCCAGCCTGTACACTCTGACCCCTAAAACACTCAACATCATCCACAATGCCCTCATCTAGCTGTGTAAAACCTGGCTGCACTGTTAGATGGGATAGCAAATCCTCTCCATGCTGCTGATTCCATGTTTCCCCACAAAGACCCCAGGTGCTCCCTGGTGATGATTTACTTGTCCTGTGAAGCAGGAATAGGCAACAGCTGTGTAAGGCACTGGTGAGGAGGGAGGGAAGGAGGGAGGAAGCTCCTCTGAGCCCCCCAGGCCCTGCCTGCCTTAGGCTCTCATGCTGTTGGAGGCAGCTCCTCTCCCCTGCAGCACCTGCAAGGCCAGGCTGAGGAGAGGGTACTCGAGTCACATTCCCATCCCAGGATGTGATGCTCATTGCTCACTTGCAGTCTGCTCTTTACTTTCCAGCTAGCACTAATAGAGGCTTTCAATTTCCAGGTGTGCTGTTAAAATCTCAGCAGATTGCTCTGGATGACTAAGGATGCTTCCTCTGGTTTATTTAATTTTTCTTTTTTCCCCTTTGCCCTCCCTTCCCCCTTCTTGCATCAGCAGTGGGTATAATTTGTTTGCAGAGTTCCAGGGTGTTTCATCTTTCTTTGGCTGGCCCCAAGTGCATGGGGGTTTGTTGAAGCAACAGCATTCTTGATTTCTTAGAGCTGGTATGTGGGTGTTGGATTGTGTCATTCGTAGGAGGTGAACGTCAAAGGAAGTGGGATCAACTGCTGGAGGTTTGTAAGCCAGGTACTTAATATTTGGATTCCTGGAAAAGCAAGGGAAAATAGCAAAACAGGCAGCCTTTGTGTCTTTAGTTTTCCCGTGTAATCAGAATAACACAATACCTATGTGTGCTCAAGCACAGTTTGGGTTGGTTTTGGTTTGGTTGGGTTTTTTCCCCCCTTGGTTTATTCAGGATGGATTCCTTTAATAGTTTCACATGTTTTGGTGGATTCTGTTGAATGTTTATTCCAGTAATACAAATAATTTGTGTTGTGTATGTGCCCCCACAAATAATGCGATTCATTATCAGGTACATTATGTTGTCTTTTTATTTGATGTAAAATGGTGTCTTCGAGTTAAAATTAGACAGAAGAGCTATTTGAGACTATTTTCTTCATCTCCAACTGTTTTTTTCAGAAGTGCATTAGTCTAAAGTATTTCATGGGCAAAATACTGAGTTATTTTGAGGGCAGACAAATTATCTACAAAAGAAAAGTACAGCAGCTTATTTTTACAGTAGTTTTATGGTAATCGCTGTTTTATTTGACAAGTATAGATACCAAGCTAGATAGAAAATTCCAGCAGAGTGCTTTCTCCTAAACTTCTCTAGGGAGCAGGTCTCTTTAGCAGTCCTTGTTCAAACTAAGCTTAAAAATTAAATAGGACAGAAATACCCTTTAAAAAATTATTTGTCCATCTTATGGGTTAGGCAAAAGGACTGTAGCAGCTTTCTTGGCACTTTCCCCTATGCATTTTCCTGTGGCTGTCAAAGGGATCTGTAGGTTAGGAGGAAGGAAAGCTGATGGTGAAATGTTCATGGGAGGATTTGTCTGTAATCACTGGAAAAACAGTCCTTCCCTCTGACTTCAACAAAGCTTTGTGGTGTAAATTTATGGATCTCATTGATATTTCTCCTGATTTACACAACAGTAAGCAGTATGTAAGTACAACAGCCAGTTAAGTAGTAGTGGGCCTTAAATATTTATCTGCTTTATTTTTAGAATGGCAGTTGCAGCTATTTTTAGAGCAAGGAAGCAGTGATACAAATCTAACTGGATTCCTTCTTTGCTTTGAATCTGCAATAGAGAAGCAGTTGAGGTTTTTTGACCACGAGCTCTTATTTTTTATGTTAAATTTGCTCTGATTAATAGGTTATAGGCTTCATCTTTCAAGAGCCTCTGAACACCTGCTTACAAGCATAAGGGATCTTGTTACCTCTGTAAAGGAGCATTGATGCAGCCCAGGAGCAGCTGTGAGACTGTGCAGCACTAATACCTTACATGGATTTATTTGTGGGGAAAGGTCCCAAGAGAAAACACACTTATGGTGGGTCATTGCTTTCCCATAAAACCCCAGAACAGAATATGTTCTCCTATGGGAGGCTTTGCTGGATGTGGGATGGGGGTGTTGCTGTGAGTGCCTGTGCCAGTGTGGTGGGGAAGGACATCCCCTCTGGAAAGCAGCATGAGGGGTAAACTAGGCTGGTGCCTGGAGATGCCACTCAGACATTAGCACTTTTGGC